GAATAGTGCACAGGTCATGCAAACCACTCTACAAGAGAGCATGATATAGAATATAGTTTGTGCAAAATAGATACCTCAAATGACACTTTATCCAACTTCTGATTGGAAACCAGTTTTCTTCATGATGAGTTGGAAGGTAACTTGATATTTCAAGAAGTAATTAAAGCACAAACAAGGCCAACAAGCAAACTTACATGGTACAGTATACAGCCATTTTGGCTTATCCAGCTGTAAACATGTTTCTTCCTGAAAGCCATAAGTTTAGAGTTAAGAAATCTTATCAAAGATAGTATTAATCAACTTACAACTTCGACAGAAAGGAAAACTAGAATTCTTACCACCATTGGGACTGGGTTTAATGTTCAGGTAATTCTCTTGCATGGGGATGATGAGCCACTTCTATGCAAAATCATGGGTGGAATCTGGATATGATCCAACATGGATAGCAAAAAGAACAGATTCAAAGTGTCAACATTGCATGCAGTGAACACCTAACAAGATTACTTAATAATGAACCACATCCCAGAATCACCAGCCAATTGAACTTTTACTTCTTAAAAGCCAGCACTATAATTTAGCACTCCAGTTTTTCCCACTCATCCTACGTCATTGTTTCCTCTTCCTTTGCTGTAATAAATTTAACCTTTTCAGAGTATCAACCAATCTCTGATGCAAATCTCTAGTATTTCCATATTGAGGAATGAATCCCCTTTCTTGTATATCAAGCAATAATGTTTCACCCTTAACAGGATTATTTTCCTTAACAATGGCRYGRATAAGTACAGTATAAGTAGTAGTATTAGGCCAAATACCAATTTTTTTCATCTCATCATATAGTTCAAAGGCAGTGGCAACRTTGCCACAAGCACAGAGACCTGAAATGARAACATTGTAAGCAACAATATCAAGTTTTACCCCATAACATTCCATCAGATCCCTCAACTTCAAAGCTTCAATGGGCTTAGCTTCTTTAAAGAGATTATGCATTATAGTAGTAAAAGTAGAACTAGTTGGAACCAAACCCGTCCGAAGCATCCAATCAAGAACCAGCATTGCTTCCTCAGTCTTTCCGCACTGTAGGAGCCCTCTAACAAGAGCACTCTCAGCAATTTTGCAAGATGCTAAACCTAGCATYTGCATCTCATCTTTAARTTTGAATGCTCTCTTTATATCACCCACCTTGCACATCCCCTTAATCAAAGCAATGTAATGTTTATGGGTGGGAAGAAACCCTTTGCCAAGCATTTCATGCAGAAGAATATGTGATTCCCGAAAATAATATTTTCTATTGAGTCCATTAATAATTGTGATGTAGGTATCCCTATCCATTGACACACCTAACCTTCTCATACAGTTAACCAGATAAAAAATTTTCCCCATTTCACCATTTTCACTGTATTTGGAAATAAGCATGTTAAATGTAAAGCAGTCTGGAATTATACCTTCCATTACCATCTTTTCTAAAAATTTAACCCCAACATCCTGTATGCCAGACTTGCAAAGTACAAGAACTAAGGAATGGTATGTTACATTATCTGGCAAAAATCCTCTTCTAATCATGGTGTTGTACACTTTAAAGCATCTGAACAAGAGCTGCCTCTTGGAATATGCATGTAAGAGAATGTTATATGAAATCAAATTACAACACAGACTTYGGTTATTTACTGCAGAAATAAAACTCTCCACTTTATACACCTGCCCCATTCTTGAGTATCCATCTAKCATCACATTTAGCATAACTGTATCTGGGTATAAACCTTTCCCCAACATCTCTTCATACATATAGGAAGCAACTTTTGGTAGGCCTTCCTTGAAAAGACCATGAATCATACAAGTGTACATGACCCGGTTTGGTAGTAAAGTTTCCCTTTCCTTCATTTTCCCAAATAAAATAATTGCAGTTAGCGTCTTGTTCTTCCTACAAAGACCATTGAGAAGAATAGTAAATGTATAAACATCTGGAACTATATCTTTTCTAACCATATCATCATATAGAAACACTGCCTCCTCCAACCTTCCAGCTTTACATGCTTCAGACAGTAATGTGTTATAGACAAAACTATTCACAGCACAAGGAACATACTGGAGTTTATGCAAAAATTTCCTTGCCTCTTCTAAGTTACCACCAATGAAGAGTCCTTTTAATAAGCTTCCATAYGTGAAAGGACTTGGATGATGACCCAACTTAATCATGTCATCAAACAATGAAAATGCTCTTAATCCATCACCTATACTTCCATAGCCATTTATAATGCAGT